CATTGGAGCCTTGCTACAAAGGACCTTTTATTGTCAACAAGGTTTTACTCAACGACAGATGTCTAGTGGAAAATATCTCCCTTGCGCAACGAAAGCAGCGCCATTAAAAGTCAGCTTATCCATCCGATAAGATGCTGGTGTAAAATTTCTGAGGATGACCAAGATGACGACGGGGACTGGATAGACGACGAAATCTTCGATTCTCGCGAGGATGCTGAGAATTTATCAGAAATGGCCGAATGTAATCAGCTGAGCAGAAAGCGAGACCATCGCGGAAAATAACAGAGGGAGACTGGTAACTGATCCAACTAGTTTTTTTAGTTTTAAGCTAGAAGCGAATCCGAAAGGTTTCAATAAGACTTATTCGACAATAATGTAAAACGATATCCAACATTACCATAAGCAAGAATAAACTGAAACCACTCAAAAGTCATAACTTTGAACATGTAATCTTAATTCTTAAAAGACAAACATGTCCTCCGAAGTAATGTAGCTTGGAGTCCACCTCGATGGAAGACTAACCAGGCGTAAGCACATCAAATGCAAGAAGATCCACCTAAAACTAGAAGTTAGCAACCACTACTGGATCATAAACTCACGATCGCCATTGTGCTTGGACTGGTCTTTTTCGGATGTTAATCTGTTCACTTGGCGATGGTTCAGTGGTTTCTTCGGAAGACGAATTGGTGTGCCGGGATAATATTGCAAGCTTTCAGATGTGGTATTATGTAAATTAACAAGCATTTTTAAACAAATAAGGCAAACAAGATAGAAGGCTTATTGGTCTGTATGATGACGGAATTGTGTGGTTTTTTCCAGGCTTCGGTATCATTATAATGACGGATTTGTTCCACTTTTTTGGGAATTAGCCAAGATTAATGATTCCATTAAATAGTTTGCAGACGACTTCTATGGCGCATCCACAGGGGGTACTTTGTGCTTCTTGGCGAAAGATTCTGGATTCCGAGCTTTTCCATTTGCTGATTAGATTTGTAGTATTTGTTTCGGTCTACTTCCTTCCTATGAGGAGTAGAGATTTTAGCAGCCGCAACGAGTACTTCTTCCAGGGCGCTCGTGGTGTAGTCGATGTCGATTCCATGTTAAATTCCGGGGCGAGTTCTATGTGGGCACTCACGTACTTTTTGTATTTTAGCCAGTTCGTTTTTGGCGTCGTCAGGCTAAAGGGATGTTCGATTATTTCTGGGCTTTAAAGAAGCATTAGAAGCACAGGCGAGTGGTCTGATGATAATTCCAAGACTGCTTTGGAACTTATTAGACTGCGAGGTATGTTTTTTATCACCGCAAAATCAATAAGGTCTGGAAACTTGCGTGAGTAGGTTGGTGAGTGAATTTTAGAAGTCCATAAATTGTCCTTCTGAGATTGGGAATCGAGGAGGGCAGTAAACTGCAGCGATTGAAAGGCTTCCGATATTTGACTGTATTTGTATCGATGGGGCCTGAAAGAAGTTTATTGCAAAACTTTTGCGAAAATGGTATTTAATCCATTCTCTGATTAGAACTCCAGTTCCGCCGTGGGCTTTCCCATCTGGATGATCTGTGCGGTAGATTGTGTAGCCTCTTATTTCAAAGTTGTTTTTGCTTGTAAGATGCGTTTTCGCCAGTAGCATAACGTCAATATGGTTTTCGGTCAAGAATTGTGACAATTCTAGTTTATGCCGTGAGACACCATTGGCGTTCCACATTGATATTCGTAGAGCCTGCATAGATTATTTAGACTGTTGTGCTACGAGCAGCTGTATCACCATGTTCTGGTTTTCAACGAGTGCTGGCATGGTCGTTTTCATGAATGACATAAGCTCCATCATACTTTGTTGGAGGGTAAGCATCGTTTCCGTTTTGCTATGTGGCTGTTCTGAGGCCTGTTGAGCGCTTTGTGAGTTAAGCTGAATTGGATTTTCCAGATGAAGACGTCTGGCGTAGCTTTTGACGCAATGTACACTTTCTGTGGATTTTGGTTGCGCGTTGCAGTCGCTTGGCGCATGCGACTTTTATAGTTTAGCCGTATGGTTTCCTCTGCATTTTCCACATTTCTTCACTGTACTCCCCGCAGACTACGCAGTCAGCCTGAGGTGCAGTATGACCTAGAGTGTCCATACTTTTGACAGTTAGTGCATTGCATTGTTCCGTTGCGTTTATGTGGCTTTTAAACAGTGATATTGCAGCTTGTAGATTGGGTGGATTTCGTTCTTTTTCAGCAACCTGCTTTCTGGCTCGATCTAGACCTTGAAGAGGGGTTGTGGCATTTTTTCTATTATTACAAACAGTTTGTTTGTAATAATAAACAAATTATAATATTATAGGTAGACATAAACATAAACGGAAGTTTGCAAGTGTATATACATGCCTACGTTCCACAACGCAAGTGCATTCGCTCGCACATAACTTCATATATATATGTACCTTCTACAATTCCGCTACGGATCTGAGCGCACAGTGGGACAGATCGGGTTTGCCGCGAGCAAATAAATTTCGAGCGATTCAATTTTGACGGCAGAAATATTTACTTCGGGTTGGCCGGAACTTCATATAAACAAAATATGAACTCCAGAGACGCAGTCACAGGAGCACCCACTCCAACCCTTCCTACTCCTACCTACCTACACCCAGGTGCTATATTGGAGAAACGATTTAATAACCGTCGCTCAATATTTAAGGCGCATGTGAACAAGATTCTGGGCCCATATGCGAGCCTTAAAGAATTTGGGTTTGTCGACTCAGATCGCCAGCTGCAACATCGTCCAGGTTGTGCTTCAAAGGTTGGACCCAGCCTGCCGTTGCTGCAGAAAGCCCGACTTGGGTAGGTCGTTTGTGGAGGCGGTTCACTTGTCCAGAGAAGAGCACTTGTTTCCACTGCACATAAGGATGTTTTAAAGAGCGCAACTATGCTGAATGGTCAGTTGGATTCTCTGCTGCACCGGTTTTCGGAAATCGAAGACTGCTCCGAGCCTATTACGAAGCGGATGAAGGAGAAGTTAGATTGCGATGCGCATTTCGTGCAACATGTTGCTTGGCTGGATTCCGGCGCTTACGCTGTCAGGCTTCCGTTGAAATGCAGTTTTTAGTTGAATCTTACTCCCAAGCCGTTTGACGATTTCTCTTCCTCGATATGCTGTACTGTGTCTCTCGATAAGCAATATGCTACCCTCATATAGGAGTATTTGGAGTTGGGTCATATGTCTCCAGTCCCTGCTGATGCGAGCGTCACTAGCCAGTGTGTCCACCATTGTGTCCCAACAGGGACAACCATTAAATATTGTGGCAGAAAACTTGGCTTATGTGTAACTTAAGTTAGAGGTGGAAAAATAAGAAAGTCTAAGAGTTATTCCGGATGAGGTCCAGCGGGTGAGTTCTGTGCAGCCGCCGCAACTGTTCGCTGTTGCGAGGAGTGTGGTCGCCAACTCGTTGGGGTGGTTGTGTATACACAAAAAAAAAGTAACCCTAAGATTTAGAAATTCGCCCTATTTTTGTCTTCAACGGCACCGCACCATAACAACAAAAACTTAAAAGCAATCGGCGTTTTAAGTGACTCCGACTGAAATATACTCTGACACTTTCTCAGTATATTGATTTTTAATGATTCGTAAAAATATATATACAGAAAACATTTTACTACTAACACTTAATCTTATTCTTAAATAAATTAAAAACGTATGCTGAAATAATAAAAAAAAATAATATAATTTCTTTTGTCATTTCATCATATACAAATACCCGAATTTGGTTAGGGTAGCAAGCCTGAAAAGTAAGAAAAATCAAAATTTTGTGCGCTGGCTTCGAAACGAAATCGCACGCACACATACACCCGTGTATGTGAATGTGTGACACGCATACATACGAAGATCAACCGAAGCGCAGGCCAACCTTCTTCATCGCGCTCCGTTTAGAGACTGAGAAACAGAAAACATTTTATGCGAGAATGAGCGTAAGATGAACGAACGATGAGCGTAAGAGAGCGTAAGAAATTCGCTCTGGGGCCTGCTGGGGCCTGTCGCAAGAAATTTTCGCGTCCATTTTCGTTGTATGAAATGGGTTGTCTATATGCTGTATGGTTAAGCATAGTATTGAGTTGACGAAAATCCGCTGTTGAAATTCTGATAGCGATTTTGCACTTTATTCGGCTGCCGAGATAGTGTGGCCAAAACAATGAAGAAATAAGGTAATACTGAACAGCTGTTGTTTGTAAACAAAAAACAAATAAGCAAAAATGAATTCAAAACGATTGGATGTTGGTGTTTTGTTTATGTATTTAGCCGCTAAGGAGCTGATTAAGAAATAGAAAACTGGTTCAAAATCAAAATCAAAATCAATCACAAATCATTTCAATGCCATTTTATGGCATTAAAATGCCCCTTGTGGGTCAAATCCCATATTATGGGCTTCGTCTTGACCGCAGAAATTAATTTTAATTTGTCCTGGCGCGTCGAAAATGTTTCGGGACGACTATTTTTTTGTTTGGTCAATTGACCCTCCATGTCACACCTATAAAAATAAATTGAAATATTTATTTTAACACCCCGAGAGCTGCTGTTTATTTTTTTTGATCCGGCAACACCATTAAAATCGATAACAAAAATTTTCGTCAACTCAGTACCCGCAAAATCTAGAAGGCAAAAATTTCTTCTTCTTTCCTTTTTTACACCGTTTTTTTTATATGGAGTTTGACAGCTGTCACTCGTTGGACAGCGGATTTTCGTCAACTCAGTACTATGCTTTAGTGCTTAAATTAAAGGTGACCTTTTCTAAATTCTAGAAATTTTATTTCTACATTTTACATTACATATTACATCATACATTTACATATTTTTACATTATTTTTACATTTACATTTGTTTTCTTTGATAGCTCTCTTCAGTTCTTACTTTCACATAACACTTTATTTATGGTATATAATAAATTTGACCCTCAAATCTTGAATTGTATACTTGACTTTTAAATTTCCAGTAGCACCATGTTTTCCCCTTTTGGTGGGGACTAGAATAGCGTGAATCACGTGCGTCCTTTTTATCTGTGGAAAATAACGTCAATTAATATTGCGATATAAATATATTAATATACTATTTAATCGTGAATGTTTTAAAACATCTTTTAAAACATAAACCTTCGCTTTGTTGAGGGAATGTTTTTAGTAAGATAAAACTCTGGACTTCCTTTTAACGAAATGAGAGAAAAAATTGCCACAATCTAAGAATTTATTCAATAAATGCATTAAATAAAACAAAATTAATGTATAACAAATATTACCAATTTGTCTTCACAATTCTGCTTAAGAATGGGCAATTCCTCCTAAGCTAAGTGTAGCTACACTTGTATCGTCCTAGAAAAAGAAACTTTTGCGCCACTCAAAAGTAAGATCAAATTTTGCGTTTGCAAGGCTAAGCTTCACCTCTTCACTATTGAACATCAGCCATATTACCTGAAAATGTATTTGGGAAATTATTTTTAACCTTTGAAGTGGGGCGTAATTTACCAGTTGATAACTTTTTCTCCTTAGCCTTCAAATGATAAATTTTGCCATATGCAGCAGACCTTCTGGCTTTTTTCCGATGTTAAGATCTATCATGTCTTTCCACAATTAGCTCTAGATTAATTTAATTAGTAATTAAATTAAATTACTTATGAAATTAGTAACGTTTTTAGTAACTTACCAGCGAAAAAAAAGAAAAGGCTTCTCAGTTTATCTTTTTCAGCAAGGAATCAATTAGCACTTTTTAAATAAACTTTTTAATAAACTTGTAATGTCAACATCTTAGAGATGATTTAAATATCGTTACATTATTTCTTAACATGATTTTTTGTATTTAACATGTTAAAACTTTATACATAAAATATAATATAGATCAGTCTGCATTTATCTGCCCGTGCTCTGCCACACACACAGTATAAGTGTGTGAAACGTCATGACGCGTCATGCTCAGAGCCTACTTTCTGCTTTCTGCTATACTAATACTAATGCGTTAAAATCATATCAATGTATTGGGTGCCGACCACGGACAGAGATAAAATATAAAAAAAATTCTATATTAAACAAAATATTTCTATTTTCTAGGGTTACTTAAATTAAAGGGTAACACTGTGCATTTTTAGAAAGGAATTTCTATATTGTAGAAACAGTTTTCTATTTTGTAGGGTTAGTATCTTTTTTAGAAAGGAATTTCTATATTGTAGAAACAGTTTTCTATTTTTTAGGGTTAGTATCTTTTTAAGAAAAAGATTTCTATATTGTAGAAACAGTTTTCTATTTTTTAGGGTTAGTAAATTTTATGGTGAGCCTTTCTATTATTAAGAAAATATTTCCTGAAAATAAGTCATAATTTGCCTTAATTATAGAAAAGTTTTCTTGATTTTAGGGCGATTTCAGTTTATGGCGACTATTTCTATATTTGAGAAAAACTTCTTTGATTTAAGAAATTTTTCTTGTTTTCAGAAAATTTTTTCTAGAAACCAGAAATTTTTTCTTGTATTTAGAAAAAATTAAGTTTTATGGCGAATTTCTAAATTTAAGGGTAAATTTTATTTTGACTGTAGTCTCTGGATGTACTTGCTACTGCTTTTCTGGATCGCCTCCTTCACCCATGGGAAGCAAAGCAACTCGTGGAGCAATTAATGTTTGAAAGGGGTTCAGTCAACCTCAAAGACCACTAGGTGCATCGTTCTATCTTCAGTCGTTCGGCTTTATGACCCATTGGGTCTTGTCGGTCCTGTTATTGCAAAGGTGAAGATCTTTCTCCAGAAGCTGCGCCGTAAGAAGTTGTCCTGGAATGAAAGTCTTCCTCAAGCTCTTCACTGCGACTGGAATATGATGTGTAGCAGCGTTGCTAGTGCGCAACGCGCCGAATTCCCTAGATGGGCGCCAACATTGAAATCCGAGGAGGAGTATGGGTCTTGCGTTTATGTCGTGTCCAAGGGCGCAAGATGTGCAAGCTATTTACTCTGCTCGAAGTCCCGAGTTGTGCCAATCATTCGGTCCCAATATTGGCCAATTGGGGGGAGAAAAACTGTGACGAAGGCACTACACAAATGCATCCGATACTTCCGGACTAAGACACGGTTGCTGGAGCACATTATGGCTGATTTCCCACAGCAAAGAGTTAGCGGCTCCCAGGAGTCACTGGTTTGGATTTTTGTGGGTTTTTTTATTATTAGCCGGCAGTGCGTAATAAGACTCCAGTAAAATATTACGTCAGCGTTTTATTTTTTTGCGTTTTGCCAGCAAAGCCGTCTACCTGGATCTTGTAAGGGACTTCCACAACTTTTTTTCTGCATGGCTTGAAGAGGTTTATATGCACCCGCCGAAGGCCTTAACATATTTGGTCTGACAACGCAACCGACTTTGTTGGAGCCAGCAAGCTAAAGCAGCTGCTCCGATTATTTATAAGCGATGAGCATCAACGGGCTCTACTGGAGTTTTGCTCTATGGAGTCAATCGGTCTGTAGGAAGCGGCTGTTAAAACCGCCTAGCACCATTTTCACCGGGCTGTTGCATCTTCAATTCTTGAATTCGAGGAGCTGCGAACGCTGCTGTGCCATATTGGAGCTATAATAAATTCACGACCTTTATTGTCTCCTTCAGAAAATCCTGCAGACCTTGATATTCTAACCCCGGCTCATTTTTTAATTGGAGGTCCGTCAGTCAGCTTTATCGAGCCCGATGTCACAAAGCTCAACTTCAACCGGTTGTACAGCTGGCAGCGCGTGTCTTTCCTTTCTGGTCTCGATTGAAGGAGAAGTACCTAAACCTTCTACAGCAGTGCTCCAAATGGCGTGCCTTCGGTCCTGCCTTGGCCCTGAACAATGTGGTGCAAGTCAAGGACGAGAACCTACCTCCGATGAAATGGCCGCTTGCGAGAATAATGGAGTTAGTCCCTAGCCGAGATGGAGTCTTTCGAGTGGCATTGATTAAAACCTCTGGGAAGCTGGGATCAACCATTGTGATCATCCAGTTTTTGGTGCTAAGCAGTGACTAATAATATGGACAGAGAGTGCGGCTCGACTAGACATACGCGAAACTAAAGCTCTCGATAGCGGAGGCTTGCGACCAACTAAGTCGATATAGCTTAACTTTAGCTTAATAACTAATTTAGCGGCTGCTGCCTGACCCGACCCGACTGCCTGACCTGACAACGTGAGATCAAGCTACCGCTCGTAAATTTGCTTTCCTTTATAAAATCTCAATTTCATATGGATAACTTTCAAAAATGGTGTTTAAAAATTTTTTCTAAAACTCAATGAATCGAAATGCAAACTCATATCTTTTTATCGATCTAGTCCTTACCAGAATATGTTCTTTTCTCTATGGGTGCACCCTGGCCTGGCCTTATGGCCTTAAAATTATTACTCAGCTTTACGATCTGGATGCCTTATTAGGTTGGAAACATACATTTTCCGACCATATTTCCAACATGGTTAATAAAACATAAGATCTACTTGGTTTTATTAAAAGATGGTCTAAAGAATTAAAGGACCCTTATAAACTAAGCTTTACACGTAACTAAAACTTTATAGGTATCTTTGCTCCGTTCGATACTTGAGTATAGATCGTTTGTTTGACCTTCAATACGGAGTTCTCCGAGATCACATCGCATCTGTACAAAAAACTTTATGACTTTTGCTCTTAGAGGACTAAATAAGGATGCAAATCTTCACCTTCTTCACTAAAAAATCATAGAACGATGCTGGGTTTCGTTTTCTTACACAACCCTTTAGATCAGAGGTCGGCACGGACCTATCTCGGGGGCATAGGAAATTTCTCTGCCCGAGCTCTGCCACACAGTATAAATGTGTGAAACGTCATGCTCACAGCCTACTTTCTGCTATTCGTTACTAACACTAACTATTAGGGTGCCGACCACTGCTTTAGATGGTGAGGTAGACAGTCAACATCTTCTAACACGCCTAAAATGTAATGTAAATAGACTAGCAACTTTTGCCCTCTAGTTCTTAGCCATTTGATAAGATTCCATAAAATTTTATATATGCCCTGCCTGCTCCCTTAAGGGGTTATATTCCTTTTTTATTTTCACAAAATCGAAAATCGAAACAACTCCTTGAGAACATTTGCCCAAATTTTAATAGAGATTCGAGCAGTAAAAACAAAGTTACAGCGCTCCAAACCGCGCGCCTCGTTGCGGCCTTGAACTGAACTTGAAACTTGAAACGCGAATATCTCGAAGTGGTGTTTCTTGAAAAATGACTTTGCGGTGATATGGATTGGCGGAAAACTACTGAACCGATTTACTTCAAATTTTTTTTCAAATGTTCGTAATGAAATTTTTCTGTGCTTGAACGATCGACTTTTCACGCACAAACTTTTTTTTTCGCCGAAATGAATTTTTTAGTGAAATTTCTAGAGACCAAAAAGTTTATTTTTAGCACAAAACGTTCCCATATGCATAAAAAAAAATCTTAAAAACGATCGTTCAAGAACAAGAAATTACTCTAAACTAATAAAATTTTTTTACTTTTATGGTTTAAGTTGATCTGTTCGACCTGGGGAAGTACAACCGCAAGTCTCTACAAAAAAATTCCTCTACGGGAAACAGCCACCCCTTAAAAACTATTTAATATTTTACGACGAAATTTTGAACAAACTTTGTTAATAAAGTGTACAAAAAATTGAAAAATCCGTGTAATTAAATAATTGCTACATACCTAAAAAAAAATCCGAACTTTCCTCTTTTTCTTCGACAAAGAAGGTGCATGGTATAACCCCTTAAGGATGATCCTTAAGGTACAAGAATGAAATATTTTCATCAATAAACAACAAAATGACGAACTCACAAAAAAAAAATTTTAAAAATTTAAAAAACTTATCTTAAATAAATGATAAAAAAAAAAACTAATCATTAAAAATAAATGATTCTAGTACGGGGCAGAGTTGTTACTTTTTAGAACAACATATCCAAATTTCAGCTAGATCGGTACCATAGAATTTTGTGAATAATCACACAAAAATGTCGTTCCGAGAAAAACGCGTTTAAAGTTTAGACGCTACCGAGAAACTCATACTTTTCGGTGTAGGCGCGCTCTCGATTATGGGCTGTATCTCTGTCATTATTTGATATTTTTATTCGAAACTTTAACAGTACATTCTTAATAAACAATACTATCGAAATATGTGAAAAAAAAATCGATTTTTTTCAACCTTACCCATGAGACTACATCCTTAAGTTTATTAAGTTCGGACTACAATTATCTCAACTAAATAACATCACTTTGCTCTAAATCTAACTTAAAAGCTTCTATTCTTTACATCTTTTCTGAGCAACACTCTTCTATTACACTTTTCTTTAATCCAGTGCACTGTAAGCAGCGCTTGCACTTTATTTTGATTTCTATAAATTGTCATTATACTATAATTCAGAAATTCCAAATACTCTTTTGAAACTTTCACTATGTATAGAGCAGTGGGCATAGAGCAAACTCTCATTTTCTATAGCCCGCGTACATAAGGTGTGAGCACTGTCAAACTTTTTAGAAGCTCTCTCATTTGCTCCCATTTTGCCTCATTTGACAGCCCAAACTTAAAAATCAAAAAGTAAAAAGTCAGTGCAGCTTCGGCACTAAAAAAAATTTTCTCAGAAATTGGGTTGGAAAAATAATTTCTTCATAGAAAATATGGATAGGGATGCGTAAATTTCATTTGTTAAAAAACTGTTGCTAAATGCTGTTGCTGTTGCTACGCGAACTATGGCAAAACAGCGGGT